GGCAGAGAATGGGAATTCTGAGAGGGATTTGTTAACCGGGGAGTGGCAGAGAATGGGAATTCTGAGAGGGATTGGGAAACGAGAGTGGGATGGAGTGGGAAAATTGGGTGTGTAAGGGAATGGGAATTCTGAGAGGGACAGCCAAGCTGGATCAAATGGGAATTCTGAGAGCAAAAGGGAAACATGGGAAAGAGAGGGAATGGGATACATGGAGTGTGAGATGGAATGAGAATTCTGACAAGGAATGAGAAGCTGGAGTGGGAGAGAATGGGAAAATTGGGTGTGAGAGGGAATGGGAAACATGGAAGTGGGCAGGAATGGGAATTCTGAGAGGGGAAGGGAAGCGGGGGAGAAGGATGGGATGGAAATTCTGAGAGGGAATGAGAAATATGTTGGTGGGAGGAAATCGTAAACAAAGGAGTGGCAGATTGGGAATTCTGAGAGTGACCAGAATACATGGGGTTGGCAGGAATGGGAATTCCAAGAGGGAATGCAAAATGTGTGAAAAGATGCAAGTAGGAGAGAATGGGAAACAATGTGGGAAAGGATGACAGCTCTGTGAGGGAATGGGAAATATGTGGGTGGGAGGGACTACAAATTCTGAGAGGGAATTGAAAATGGGAGTGGCAGAGAATGGGTACACTGAGGAGGAATGGGAAATGGGCTCAGGATCAAGTGGAAACTCTGAAATGGAATGGGAAAGATGCGGGTGGGATGGAATAGAAATTCCAAGAGGGAATGAGAAACGGGAGTGGGATATAAGAGAATGAGAAGGAATGGGAATTGGAACAAGGAGAAAATGTAAAACATAATGTGGGGAGGAATAGGAATTCTGAGAGGGAATGGGAAATGGGAGTAGGATCGAATGGAAATTCTGAGAGGGAATGGGATACATGAAGTTGGGAGGGAATGGTAATTCTGAGAAAGAATGCAAAACATGGGGATACCAACCCCATATATCCTGGTCCCTCTCAGAATTTCCATTGCACCTCACTCCCATTCCATCTTAGGAGGGAATTCTGAGAGGAGTGGGAGACAATGTGAATTCTGAGAGGGAATGGAAAATCTAACAGGGAATGGGAAATGGGAGTGAGGTGAGGTAGGAATTCTGAGATAGATTGGGAAACTGTGGAGCAGAATTGAATGGTAACTCAATGCAAACAAACATGGGAAAGAGAGGGAATGGGAAATGGAAGTGGGATGGAATGAAAATTCTGAGAGGGAATGGGAAATGGGAGTAGGAGAGCATGAGAATTCCAAGATTGAGGAGAAACAAGGAAGTGGGATGGAATAGAAATTCTGGCAGGGAATGGGAAACAGGAGTGGAAGAGAATGGGAATTCTGAAAGTGAGTGGAAATTCTGAGAGGGAGTAGAAAAGCTGAGGGAATGGGAGACATGAGTAGGATGGAATGGGAATTGCAAGAATGAATGGGAAACAGGAATCGGAGAGGATTGGAATTCTGAAAGGGAATTGGAACAAGAGTGGGATGGAATGGAAATTCTGTGCAGGCATGGGAATTGAGGGGGACTAGGAAATGAGAATGGGTGGCAATAGGAATTCTGAGAAAGATTGGAAACGGGAGTGGAAGGGTGAGAGTTCTGTGAGGGAATGGGAAGTATGGAGGTGAGAAGGAATGGGAAATGGATTAGGAGAGAATGCGAATTCTGAAAGGGAATGGGAAATGGGAGTGGTATGGAACGGAAATCATGAGAGAGAATGGGAAATGGCAGTGGGATGGAATGAAAATTCTGAGAGAGAGCAGGATACGTGGACATGGCAGGGAATGGAATTCTGAGAGGGAATGGGAATGGGCAGGAATGGGAATTCAGAGAGGGAATTTGAAATAAGAGTGGCAGAGAATGGGTGTTCTGAGAGGGAATGGAAACCATGGGGTGTGAGATAGAATGGCAATTCTGAGAATGAATGGGAAATGGGAGTGGGAGAGAATGGGAAACAATGTGGGAGTTCTTAGGGAATGAGAATTCTGAGAAGGAATGGACAATACAGGTGTGGGGAAATGGGAATTCTAAGTGGGAGTTGGAAATATCTGGGTGAGATGGAATGGAAATTCTGAGAGGGAATTGGAAATGGGAGTGGAGAGAATGGGAATTCAGAGAGGCAACAGGAAATGGGGGAGTGGGAGAGAATGGGAAATATAATGTGGGAAAGGATAGGAGTTTTGTGAAGGCATGGGAAATACGTTCAGGCTAGGTGGATTAGCCATGGGAAATGCAGGGTTAGGGTGGGGATGGATCTGGGTGGGCTGCTCTTCAGAGGGTTGGTGTGGACTTGATGGGCTGAATGGTGTACTTTCACACTAGGGATTCTATGTAGGTGAGGGAGAATGAGAATTCTGAGAGGGAATTGGAAACAAATGGCAGAGATTGTGAATTCTGAGGGAGCATGGGAACTGGAAGTGGGATCAAATGGGAACTCTGAGGGAATGGAAATCATAGGGATGGGATATTGTGGAAATTCTGAGAGGGAATGGGAATGGGATGGAATGGGAATTCTGAGAGGGAATGGAAAACAAGACAAGTAGAGAATGGGAAACATAATGTGGGAAGGAATGGAAGTTCTGTGAGGAAGTGGGAAATATGGAGCTGAAAGGTGATGGGAATTCTGAGAAGGAATGAGAAACAGGAGCAGGATTTAATGGGAGCTCTGGTGTAAGGGAATGAGAATTCTGAGTGTAGGTGGGAACCATTTGGGATGTTTTGGGAATTCTGAGAATGTATTAGGTTTCTGTGAGGGAATGGAAGCTATGTGAGACAGAATGGGAATTTTGAAAAAGAATAGAAATTTTGATAGGGAATTGGACTCTTGTGGTGGGATGGCATGGAAATTCTTAGGAAATGGAAATCGTGGTGAGAGTGCATGTGAATTCTCTGAGGGAGTAGGAAACATCTGGTGAGAGAGTTTGGGAATTGTGAGAAAGAATGTGCATGAGAATCATGATGGAAAGAAGAATTCTGGGAAAGACAAACTGTGCGGAGATTGGCACTGGAGATCATTAGGACCTGTTGTCTTGAAGGCACATTAATGTACAGTTCTATTTGGAATAAAGTAAGTATAAGCTCAGCCATTAATACAGCAGTTCTGAATATTCTGAAACTATGTCACCATCTCCTGCATTATAGAATGGTTATAACACAGAAAGGAGCTATTCATTCAGTAATGTCCATGTTGGCTGTTTCCAAGATCAGCTCCTGCGCATACTGTGTTACTAAATCTAAATTGAATGAGACATTGATGATAATCACTGTCACAGGGTGGGCACTCCAAATGCTGAGTTTCTAGACCACAAGCCTTATAACTTAAGAGACTCCATGTCATGTATGATACTAGATCCACTGAGAATTGTGTCCTGTTGTTGACTACAGTGCTCGATCACTCCAGAAACGAAGGCCATTGTCACCAGCTGGCTAACCCCTGAATTTTGAAATCCCTTCCCTAAACCTCTTTGCTACCCTCTCCTCCTTTATGGTGTCCTTTTAAGATAATTTCCAATCAACCTGTTGAGAGATGTTATCATACGCCACCAAGTAGGTAGGACTTGAAACTGGGCACCTGGTCAAGAAGTAGCGATACCAGCACAAGAGCCCTTAAGACGCCCATTTAAAACCCACCTGTTTGATTTTAATCACCTGTCTTATTAACTCTTTATGTGGCTTGGTTTCGAACATAGTTTAGTAATATTCCAGTGAAGTACCTTGGGAAGTTTTATTATGTTAAAGGAGAATCATTCGGAATGTAGGACAAGATTAAAATAAATGAAAGAGCCTTGAATTTCTGTCACTGTGCCTATGACTTCAAGGCACCTAAAGCTCTCTCAGTGGGGTTTAACAGGATTCTGTACCAGATCCCTTACTTTCTGCGATATGTTCCAATGTTTTGGACTTGAAAGAAGTTTGCAGATGACACTAACTTAGCTTATGTCATTAATAGCGAAGAAGAAAGCTGGAGACTGCAGGAAACAAACAACAGGCTAGATCAGTAGATGGGACAGTGGCAAATGGTGTGCAAGCTATAGAAGTGTCACGTACTGCATTTGGAGAAGTCTAACAGTAAAAGAATCATTGGTCTACATAGTGACAGTGGCATAGGTCAGGTCAAGTGAGCATAGGTCATTCTATTATCCAATTCAGTCAGGAAAGGACCAGAGGCCATTAAATATGAGCAGAGAATAAAGCCTATTCTGAATGCAGACATCTCAAGGAGAAATGAAAAGCAGGAGCTATATTGGTCTTAAATGATTTAAGATTATGCATCACACCAGAACAAGATGAAATATGTATCAGATTTAGGTTTAGTTAAAGCTCCTATGTCTTTGAAGTGTTATCTATATATCAATAAATCAGACTTAATTAAATCTACATGAATTCCAGAAAACC